AGTTTCTTAGTATTGAAAGATTTTCTAATATGCTGTGCTGTATGTGTTTATGTGTTTTTGTGTTTCTGTGCTTTTACCTCCAATGGCCGTAAGGGCTGTGTTTTACAGTTCCGGTTAGTACAGAGGTCTTTAACAGCTTGAGCTATTGCTTTAACTGCCAGCTCAATACTGAATACAGCATATGGATATATCAACTTCTTTAACTCTTCTGATGAATTCGTCCCATGCTCATTTAAAAAATTAGCCAAAAATGTGTTGTTGTCGTGGTGGTTGGGGTTTTCATCAAGGTCATCGAGATATCGCTCAAACTTGGTTGTGTTTCCAGATTTAAGAGTGATCCCAAAGATTGTTCCTATGTCACTCAATTTGTAGTTCTGAGAACTCAGTACTTCAGGTGACTGTGACCAAATATCACTGGCCAACCAAACTTTCCCTCTGGCTTGAGGATATTTGAGAAGTTTCCCAAAAATATCTATCATACAGTAAGCTTTGGCAAAGGAAATAATAACACTAACATTTCTATTATCTATGATGCTTTTGATTGTAGAGTTAATTCTCTCTTCATGTGATTCATCATTTAAAGCATCTGGAAGAACAGAGATGAAGGCGAAGCAGATGCCTTTTTTGGTTGCATGATGCCAGAGGCGTTCAGTTATATAGCGACCGTATTCACTATCAGTTGCTACCACACCGACCCAAGTCCAACCGTAATGATCAAGAATCTGGGCAATGGCACGAGCTTGGTGATCATCTTGTGGTACGGTCCTCATAAAGCTTGGAAAACGGGTTTTATCACTCAGGAAACCAGAAGTTGCACCGTAACTTATCTGTGGAAAATATCACAAAACACTATGAAGTGAAACAAACATTTCATATTCTGTCTGTACACATATATCTTAAGTGGTAAAGTATCTAAAAAAAACCTTTTTTTTTTTAACAGTTTAAAGTCTTAATTAGCAAAATAGCTGCTTTATTAAGCACTGCAATATTACTCTTGTTTTTTCTTTCGGCTGAGGGAGTACAGAGACAAAGTTACTGCTACTGTCATTTTAGTGTGTCTGTTTCACCTATTTTCAATTTTTGTTGCTAAGCTATACTATTTGCATTTTTTGTTGTCTTTTTTTGCTGTTCATCATATCCATGAATGCAAAATGTATCATCCAAATATTAGCTGCTAATGTTTGTACAATAGTTTTTACATTTAGGGTTAGGTAACATAACCTCAGAAGTCAGTCATACCTCAGGGATGTACTCCAGATGTAGCTGACCTGTAACTCTTATGGATATCTCTGAGTAGTAATCACCAATGACAACTAGGACAGGTGGAGAGGATTGCTGTGCACAATCTTGGCGATTATTACCTACAAATGAATTAACTGATACTATTACCTTCATTTAAACTGATACACACACAGTGTTGAGGACTAACGGAATACATGTACCGGTGTTACATATTTAAAATACAAAATATGAGTAACTGTATTCAGTTACAGTTACTGCTCAAATAAGTAAAATACAGCTACTTTGTTGAAATACATGGATTGCATGTATTTCTTTTCTGTTTCATGTGTTAGGCTATCCCTTCTCTAATTTTGGTAATTCCACATATTGCCGGAAATCCAAACAAAACACGCAACAAGAGGCTCTTATGTAAGCGCCTTGTTAATTTTGGTGGCATCAGTTACACAATGAACCCAGAGCCAACACAACAGAGCCAGCAGTGCACAGGCAGGAATGGATTTCTTACTTGGAAATTCCAACACCACTTCACAAAGAAAGGGATGGATGTAATCTGAGAGTGCAATGCAAACTGTCTGCCAGCAACCAAGCTGCTCTCCTAAAGAAACACCTGGAAGTAAGTTCTTTTTTAAAAACTAACATTACCCTACTGCAACTACCTTGTCATAGTTGTGGTAGCTACCTGGGTTATGTGCCACTTCAGTATCTTCGATGTACTATTGCTGTGTGATTTATTACTATTACTGAAGGCTGGATTACAGGCTGCATTACAACCTGCAGAAATAAAACATTTTACTGATACAGACATTGTTTTCTATATGAGATCACTGCAAAAAGTGCTGTCTTACCTAATGTCCACCCTACTGTTACTAATTTTATATTAAGATTTAAAAATCTAGTTGGTATTGCTTTCAGAACTGCACATGATTATTTGCGGCTAGCAGGTTGTTAATACTATCCATCAAGTCTAATAGTCTGCGGTCTCTGAACTAACCTCAGCTAACGCCAGCTAACAAGCTAAAAAGCATGACAATATATCAAGTAATCCAAAGTATTCCAAATACATTATTCACATTGAGTAACTTAACGGAATACCTTACAAACTACACAAACAAATAATGTATTAATCTTTACTTTTGTTAAAAGTAATTTAGAATAACACTTAATTACAAGCCAGAGAAAGTAATTTGCTACACTATTCGTTATTCGTTATTCGTTACACTACTACATTACTTCCTGCTGATTCTGTAAAATTACCTGAAATGCACGGTCTCATAATTACCAGTTACCAATATAAATATAAATGTACAACTTTTAAGAAAATGTTCACAAATGCCTAATTTAGTATCCATTATCTCTCTTAGTTGATGTGCTATGTTCCCATGATGATCTCCAAAGAAAATTCAATTAGTAAGAACTATTGCGTGTCAAAAATGATTTTGAAATAACAAGGCAGATTTCTATCCCCGAGAGAACTCACTGTTTCTCATCATGAAGGACTGGGTTTGTATCAGGGCAGTAGTAACGTCCCCACAGGAGTCAAGTATGAGGTATCCCAAGGTGAGGTTTCCCAGCTCTCGCTTCTGATTTATCTCCTCCAGTGCGTGCACCATTATCAGAGAGTGGACCAGACGAGCTGTGCTAAACCTGTACAACACAATCAGATATATTATATATAAATATACCCTAATAAAATGTGTACAATGATCAGTTGTGTATGTGTGTGTGTGTATTACCTGTCACATGTCCGGTTTTCACGGCCATCATCATTCACAGTAACAGTAACGCTTTCATGAATCGGGAACAATCCTCCGATAATGATGTCACCTTCTGCTGTGGCTTCATTGGAGCATTTTGTACCAGAAAAGTGATGTGATAAAACTGCAAGAAAGATGTAGAAGCTGAAAGAATTTTTCATCTTCCTCGTGTTCTTCTTATGAGTGTAAATCAGTGAATCTTCAAAAACTTGCTCTGAAAAATAATTTGTGTGTATCTCTTCAGCATTCCTGCAACAGACAGAGGTGTGGTTAAAGTTCTTGAACTTGAAATACTATCATTTCTTTCATTTTCTTTTCTTTTTTTGGTCACATGGGGTTTGATGTCACTAAGAAATGGGATGTCCTTTACTTTCCATTTACTTTCCTTACTTTTCCTGGTAATTATTTTTGACAGGTTTCACAGTTGTGAGCTATAAAAAACAAGTGATTTATGAATTATTCGGACTGTAGCAGCTGTAGTTTTGTTACACAACATATATCCACTTTGACAACTCTGGTTACAGTTGAGTCGAAGCATTATCAGTGGTTGTACTGTTATGTAATACTGACATATTATGCATCTGATACTTAGCAAGACAATACCAGGTATTTTCCCAGGAGGATTAAAAATAATTCTATAGCAGACAAAGGAAGCAAAAAGGCTCCGATATATTAGCTGCCATGTATGTCTGCAAATCAAGAGTTTTCTTACTTGTTTACATGCCCTGCTGGTGTCTGTTGGCTGCTTTTCTGACTTTGTTGTCCCCACAAAACATTTGAGATTTTTATTATATTATTACAAGTAAAACTTTATTATATAAAGTAATGTCAAATTCATATGTTTTTTTTTTTAATTTCTTTACTTAACTACGTTCATTTGACAGCTGTTGTTGGTTTGAATTAGGGAATTTATAATTTTGTGCTTACACATCAATTGCCTTCCACTTTTCTTCAGGGACACCTGAGCGAGAGCCCATCCCAGCCGACATGGAGCAAGAGGCAGGGTAGAACCTGTACAGGTCACCAAGCTGTTGTAGTTCTAACCCAGAAAGGTAGACAACTGTTCATGCTCACAATTACACCTTTGCCCAATTCAGAATCACCAATTAATCTTCCCGCATACATATCACTGGATTGAAGCCATGCAAGCACATAGATGACATGCAAATTTTACACAGAAAGGCCCCAGCCTGGATTCAAACCCTGGACATTCGTGATGTGAGACAGCAATGCCAACCACTGTTCCACCATGCCACCCCATTAAAAAGTTTAACACAATAATTCCTCAGCATTATTATGTCATATAGTTTAACACCTAAATGGCAAAAAGGTGTCACCCACTTGCATTTATGATTAGTCACTGTAGCCTCAGTTTACTGCTCTTTGTTGACTTCTACTTCTGTCTTCAACTGTAGTTCTGAGGTGCTTGTGCTACATTTGAAATTTTTATTACAATGATACTGCGCTTTTTTATATTTTAGAGGGCAATGCTTTTTTAAAAATGCTAAATTTCTTAGAAACACAGAACTACTTCATTAAATACAACAAAAAATACATCTGTAGTAAAAAAAAAAGAAAAAAGAAGAAGAATTGGGGCAATATCACGAAGTCATTGAATGCACATGTTTGATACTGTATGTACATTTAGGAAATAAAAAATTCTGATGGTAAAACTTATACTACATAATCCAAGACTTTTTTTCTTTATTAAGTAGCCTATACACAATCTCACCATACATAAAACTGAACGCATTTAAGTAAAGGTTCACATTGTATAAGACATTGTATAATAATGAGAGTCTAACCAAATGCTATGGCGATGATCAGAGCAGCTGTCAAGAGGATGGCATATTACAGTCTCAGCAAAACAATAGAGTAGCATGTGGCAAATCACCAGAGTTGGTGAAATTCAGCCCCTTTTTTCCAAGTCAGTCCAATATTGATGACGAATCCTTCTAACATGGACTATAGATAACCTGAAAATAATAACCATGAATGAATATTGGAAAAATCAAATAACTTGCCAGTGGAGGGAAATACTTACTATCTGACTGCTGAGAGCATGTCTTGTTTCCTGTGAGGTAAAAGACAGGCTCTCTTGCTCTATACTGTAATGAGCTACGATGTCGCGCACATCCAAAAAATCTTGTATCCGCCTCCATAGGATGATATCATATCCAGAGTTGAGGTCGCCATGCTGATCAAATGAATAGTCTTTTCCATTCATATGGAATGTTGCCTTCCATAAGGCTTGTCATAGCTGAAATCGCACAATGTGGAAAAAAATATTAAAATAATATACGTAAAACAGGCATGAGAAGCTTTTTAGCAAATAAGATTTTGAATATAGGATGTGTTTCTGGCCATTTGATGAATAGAAGAGCAACATCTACTCTACTTTTAGCTCTTTTCTGGGTTCCTGCCAAGTCTTAGCATTTATATGCTTCATTATTAATAGGAAACATAATTAGATAGTGTTAAAGGATTTTCTGTCAAGCTATTTTGTGTATTTATGTTTGCTTTTGTGTGCTTTTACCTCCAAGGGCTGTCTTTTACAGTTCCGGTTAGTACAGAGGACTTTAACAGCTTGATCTATTACTTAAACTGCTAGCTCAATACTGAACTTAGCATATGGGAATATCATCATTTTTTTCAGAAATTCCTCAGTCAGAACATGGTATATTATGTTAAGGTGGAAATTAGCAAGGTAACTCCCTGCTAACTTCTAACACTGTTTAACTTGATAAATTCTATTTTCATGGATGCCTGGATGCTAAACTTAATTGTTACACCTGGTAGAACCTCCACACTGATAATTTTATTAAAGATAAAAGAATTTAGACAGTTTTTAACTCTCAGTAATGTTGTAGTGTTTGTTTGACTTTGGAGCCAGTGATGTCAGACCTAAAGATCCACAGCCAACCGTAGATGGCTGTGGCGTGTGAGACCTGTCGGTGGTCTGGTTGAGTATTTGTAGCCTCACTACCAAACCGGCATTTCATCTCCGAGAAGGTTATCCCAGAGAGAAGTAAAGCAACTGTGTAAGTTCATCTCTGAATGTTTGTAAAGCATTCCAGCGTTAAGCTTAACAACCGATATATGGAGCGACTGCCTCTCTCTCTCTCCCTCTCCTGCTGCTACTTCAATCGTGAAACTGATTAATGATCAGCTGATTGGCTTTTCTGTCGCAAGTCCGTCTCTGTTGTTTGTTTATCGCCCACTTCACGCCAGAAAAAGGAAACCAGCGGCTGAACAACAGCAGCATCATGCGGTGGGGGGTGGTTCCCTATTTTTTTTGCTGGGAGTTTCCAACCCTATTAGTTAGGTTGCTTACTTTTTAAAATACCAGAATAGGGAGGATGGAGTAGGTTTAAGTTTATTAGATTGATCAGTATTGCTGAACTATGAAATATTTTGGGTGCAGTGTATTTTTTGCATACAGGTATAACAGAATAGCTTTAATGTTTGTTTGTTTTTTTAAACTTGAGTATGAACTTATACAAAATGCAGCAAGATATTAAAAAAAACAGTTTTATTGATTAAAAAACATACTATATCGGATTCATATCAGTATTGGCCGATATCCAAATTTATGGTATCAGTATTGGACATAAAAAAGTGGTATTGTGCAATCTCTAGTTCTTAGTTTGATTGTTCATGGTTGTTTGATCAAGACTTTACTAAGAAACTTTTTTCAAGAAACTGTTTCAGTTCATGCTGATTTCAGTTAGCATTCTGCTTTAGGTTATCTGGTTTAGTATCTTATTCTTGTTAGCCTTTCCCATCTGTGTCAAGTTCATTGTGTTAATTTACTCCCTGTTTTGCCTTGATAGTCTTTTTCACTCAAGCTTTAGTTCTGTTTCCATTGTCATGTCTTCTGTGATTAGTTTTTGGATTACCTGTGTTCTGCACCAGTTTCCACTTACCTCATTACTTTTTTAATTTATTGTCTCTGTCTTCCTTTGTCATTTTTTGAGTCATCTGCCCCACTGGGTGCCATCCTGCTCTGAGCTTCCCTGTTTGTAATCTTTGATATTCCTTGATGTTTCCTGTTTTTTGAGACAAACTTTTGGACTTTGTTTACATCCTGGTTTATGTTGTTCTCTTTGAGTTCAGTTTCTGCCTTCTAGGAATGAGATAACATTCCTCTTCCAACATTCCAGGTCTCTGTCTGGTCAAATGTCTGGTCTCTATAACTCCCAGACATTTACAGGATGTTGTTTCATGAAGTGTGGAAGAATAGTGCTACACAGGGGCAAACATGGCTTTGTCCTATCTTTTCTGAGACATGTTGATGTCATTAAATTCTAAATGGCACAATTTTCTGGGTATAAATGCTTTTAGATGTTTTCAATGTTCTATTGTGAATGAAATACATAGCATTTCACATTCTGGGAATTTGAGGTTTATATAATAGACCCCAAAAAGCAGTCATACCCCAGTTGCCTTGTAACTGCTATGGATATCTCTGTAGTAGTAATCACCAATGACAGCAAGAACAATTGGAGAGGACTGGTGTGTACTATCTTGACTGACATTACCTGAAAAAAAAAATGTAGTGGAGTGAAAGCAGAAAATAGCATAGAAATAAGATAGAAATACTTAGATTAATACAAGTGCTTTAAATCTGTACTTCAATAAAGCATTCGAGTAAATGGCCACCCTTAAAGGCTGGACAAATGCATAACTCGCCATTGCTTCTGCAAGTGACAGACAATGGTGCCTGTAATCAGAGCTGCACACCTGTGGTGAGTGAAGTTATAATTACTCTATAATTACTGTTTGTGTCTTTGTTTTTCAACATGCCAAAAGATGTAAGCCGATACGCCTTGGTGTGTTTGTAATGTCTTTAGCCTTTCATTACTTTTTCAAACGTACTTTGAGTTTCATTTTCTTTCCTGCTAAAGCTTTGTTCTGAACCATTTACCCAAGCATGGATAATGTGCATTAATATCTTGCAAAACCAGATGAAGCATTTCTTTCAGGCCACCAGCTCACGGGTCATGACTCAGACATGTAACATGTTTTTTTGTTCTTCTAGATTATACTAAATAACATAAGTTCCTATCCAGTGTGTCAGTGTAAAGACATATTTCCAGTTGCCCAGAGGCCCAGGCACTATTCGAGCGCTGTAAAATGCCGAGGCGCTCCATGGCCGCAAACTCCTCCCGAGCGACGGACAGTTTCGCAGGGTCAAGGCAGTGTGCATGCGCAAACACCATTGCCATGTTCGAGAAATTAGGAACAGTCTGTGAAGGAAACTCAAAAAGCAAACGCTGAAAAACATTCCCCAAAGTCACTAAATTAGCCTGATTCAGGGGCTCAATGGCCCAAATGAAACAGGTATTGAAGAGAAGCACAGGGCATCGATTAAGCATCTGTTAGCGACATCGACCAGCAGTCCATGGGCACAAAGAAAATCGGCACCCAAAATAGGCACAGAGCTAGCGGCAACAACAAAGCTTCACTGGAAATCCCAGCATGAAAACAAACAGTCACCAACCTTTTCCTGAATGTTGCAATGGGAAAGCCGTTAGCTGCGATGAGTTGCGGCCCAAGGATAGCATGTGCTCCATCAGTTCGAGAGCCGTACCGCCACCCAGGCCTGAGATTCAGTCATCCATCCATTCACACACACATTAGCACACTGGTGATGGCAAGCTACATTGTAGCCACAGCCGGCCTGGGGCACACTGACAGAGGCGAGGCTGCCAGACACTGGCGCCACCGGGCCCTCTGACCACCACTAGTAGGCAATGGGTGAAGTGTCTTGCCCAAGGACACAACGACCAAGACTGTCGGAGCCGGGGCTCGAACCGGCAACCTTCTGATTACAAGACGAACTGCCAACTCTTGAGCCACGATTAAAATAAACGCGCTCACTGAAATTTGCTTTAGTTACCCATATGTCTATGCAAACATACCA